CGTTAAATCGCCTGCTCCGGAGGGGCTTTTATACCCCCCGGACGGAGGCGCGCGGGGTGAGGCGGCGGGGGCGGGCGCGGCGTTGCCGGTTGCCGTCAACGCGTGGCAACCGCGCATTATCGATTTTCTCTGGCTGGCTTCGACGCGGCAACCGCGCGTTATCGATTTTCTCGCCGGCTGACTCCGACGTGGCAACCGCGCGTTATCGATTTTCCCCGGCTGGCTCTATTTCCTTCTCTCTCGCTCGAGGAATTCGGGTTTTTTCTACGCGGCCGCACCTCCCCGGTCGCCCTCGTTACATATCGATACGAGATAACGATTTATATCTACAAAAGACGTGTCTCGGCTGGATCGTAGCGGGCGGAAGCGCGTCGCGGAATCAGCCGATAACTGCGATATGTAAATTGACTGGTCTAGATCAACAGATCGCGAGATTCTGGGTGATTGAGGAGATATCTGATCCCACCGTTACGCCGAAATCTAACGAGGAACTCGAATGCGAAGAGCATTTCACTAAATTTGTTACTCGCAACCGCGACGGTCGCTATACGGTGAGACTACCATTTCGCAAGGATAAGATGAGCCTCGGCGATTCGCGAACCGTCGCTCTCAAACGTTTAAATTCGCTCGAACGGAAGCTCGACTCAGATCCATTGTTAAGGGCCGCCTTTTCGCAAGTAATACAGGAATATTTAGATCTGAAACAGATGATTCCGGTGAATAACCCTTCCAATGAAGGATTTTATATGCCGCACCATGCGGTAATCAAATCATCGAGTAGCACGACCCGGGTTCGTGTCGTGTTCGATGCATCGGCAAAAACAAGTAATGGCACATCGTTAAACGATAGGTTAATGGTGGGGCCGACTATTCAAGATACGTTATTCGTTCACTTAATTCGATTCCGTACGTATAAATATGTTCTCACAGCAGATATAGAAAAGATGTATAGGCAGATATTGTTGCACGAGGATGATCAGATATACCAACGAATCCTCTGGCGCCAGAACGATCAAATAAAGACTTTGCAACTTAACACCCTTACGTTCGGCGTATCCTCGTCGCCGTATCTGGCTATACGAACAATTCAAAAACTAGCCGATGATGAGCACGACGCGTATCCTGACGCCGCCCGAGTTCTCAAAACGCACTTATACGTAGATGACTTACTCACAGGTACGAATACCGTTAGCGAAGCTCGCGCGTTACGGGATGACATAATCACGGTACTTTCTCGAGGCGGTTTTAATATCCGACAATGGGCGTCGAACGACGAACGTATCATTAACGATTTAACCTCCGACGCGGTGAATACTAATCTCATGCTCGATAAAAACAACCCCTTGAAAACATTAGGCATAGCATGGCGCGCACACAACGACAAGTTATGTTACTCAGTCCGCTCGATCGATCACGCCGAGAGAATCACAAAGCGGATGGTTTTTTCCGAAATCGCAAAGATTTTTGACCCTTTAGGCGTCCTAGGACCCGTCATATTATATGCAAAAAAGATGATGCAGAATTTATGGCAGTGCAAGGTAGATTGGGATGAATCCGTCCCATCCAATATACACAAAACGTGGATAGAGTTCGCGACTCAATTAGATTTAATGAATAAGCTATCCATTGATCGCCATGTGTTGATTTCGGATTACACCGATGTTCAAATACATGGATTTAGCGACGCGAGTAACATCGGTTACGGTGCCTGCATTTACCTTCGTTCGACCGATCAACGCAACAACGTACGTTGTCATCTACTTTGTGCGAAATCTCGCGTCGCACCATTAAAAACCGTGACAATACCGCGTCTCGAATTATGCGGTGCGCTCCTGCTAGCCAAATTATATCGCGAGGTGCATCGTGCGTTAGGAATAACCCCTAGCAAGACGGTGTTATGGAGCGACTCGACCATTGCGTTACATTGGGTGAAAACTCCACCTCATTTATTAAAAACGTACGTGTCTCACCGCGTTGCTCAAATCCAAGAAATTACTGACTTACAAGCTTGGCGACATATTCGATCAGAGGATAACCCGGCTGACGCGCTATCACGGGGTCAGTTACCGCAGGCTTTCCTGAATAACCAATCATGGTTTTCCGGACCATTGTGGCTAACGAAAGAGGAAGGCGAATGGCCTAACGGTATCACAGAATTAAAGGAATTACCCGAATTACGAAAAAATGTATGTATAGCGACGGTTTCTAACGATTGTAGCTTCCTTAAGAAATATTCGTCATATTCACGATTATTAAAAATCACAGCATTATGCCTACGTTTTCGACCAAAGAATACTTACCGCGGGCAGCTAGGCATAACGGAAATAAATGAAGCGGAAACGAGAATTATAAAAATCATTCAAGAATCTTGTTTTTCACGCGAATTGAATGAACTTGCGAATGGGCGCCCGGTAAAGAAAGGCAATATTGTAGCGCTAAATCCGTTTCTCGACGAAAATGGTTTGATTCGCGTCGGCGGACGCCTCAGACTATCAAGGTTAGCCTTCTCGCAAAAGCACCCAATTTTACTACCAAGTCATTATTTCTTAACGGATTTAATTATAAGAGAAACGCATGAAAAATACTACCACGCCGGCATACAAACGACTTTGTATACGATTAGACGCAAATTTTGGCTACTCGACGGTCGAAACCAGGTGCGTAAAATCATACGATCATACATACGTTGCTTTCGATTCAACGCCGGCTCGGTCGATTACAAAATGGGCGATTTACTTAAATCCCGAGTGAGTAACGCGACTCCCTTTGATAATACCGGGATCGATTTCTGCGGCCCTTTCTACATTAAGGAGAAAAAGTATCGAAATCAAAAATGAATCAAAGTATACGTGTGTGTGTTCGTATGTCTGGCCGTAAAGGCAGTACATTTAGAAATCGTAAGCGACATGACCACCGATGGTTTTTTAGCAGCATTGCGTCGCTTTATAGCGAGACGAGGGATACCGACACGCGTCTATTCGGACAATGGGACTAACTTTGCAGGTGCGAATAATCACCTGAGAGAACTATATGTTCTATTCAACTCCGATGAACACAGGAATCGTACGAATCGATTCTCGGTTGAACATCACATTACGTGGCATTTTATACCTCCCATAGCTCCACATTTCGGTGGAGCCGAATATGGGAATTCACTGTAAAACTACTTAAACATCATTTTAAGCGTGTTGTCGGTGAGCTCCTGTTTACATTTGAGGAACTAAATACCTTTACTATAGAAGTCGAAGGAATATTAAATTCCAGACCCATCTGCGCTCTCTCATCCGATCCCAATGATCTGTCTGTC